CAAACAGTCGTGAAGTGGTGGCAGTAAAGGTTGTTGGGAAGAAGACTCTCAATAAGGCGTCCACAGAAAACCTACTGACTGAGATTGAAATCCTCAAGACTGTGTGTCACCCCCATATAGTCCAGCTCAAAGACTTCCAGGTTTACACCTCCTGAATATATATTTTTTTTTTCAATTGATTTATATATATATATATATATTTTCAATTGATCTTATTGTTAACTGATCATTCTAATCAGTTATTTGGAGTATCCGTCTGTCCAAACTGTGTATTTTTTTTGCTGTATCTCACAGTGTATATGGTTAAATTATTTCAGTATAATTTGTTTTTTGTCTCATTAGTGGGATGCCGAGAACATTTATCTGATTATGGAGTGGTGCTCTGCTGGAGATCTCTCACGTTTTATACGCAGTCGCCGGATTTTACCAGAGAAAGTGGCCCGGCGCTTTCTGCAGCAGATAGGTGAGTGACATTTTAGAGGATTATGTCATCTAAAATTCCAGGGGGGATTTGAAAGTAGGTGTAGAGTGCAGTGGAGTACAGTTTGAATGTTAAACCTAGACTAAATGTGGGTGGGTGAAGGGTGGGCGGAATGTTGATGTCTGATCCCATTGTTTGAGTTTAAAAAATGGCTGAAAATAGTGAAGCTATCATTGTTCTTTAAGGTTGGCTGTAAAGTTTAGTTTGACTGTTTCTCTTACTGTGTAATTGTATATGTGTCTGTGTAAACAGCCTGTGCTCTACAGTTTCTCCATGAACGAAACATATCCCACCTGGACCTGAAACCTCAGAACATTCTTCTCAGCGGCTCCTCCCTCAAACTAGCAGGTGTGTTCTCCAGCATGTAAATAAAATGTTGTTTTATTTAGAGAAAGATACGGGCGACGTATTTAAAAAAAACAAAAACATTACATTTGTGTACATTGCCTTTTGAACAGTACACATAAATGTTGATCTTTGCAGAGGTGTGAGGGAGTTTTCATTCACTGCCACCTCACACTACAAACATGTTGTTTACATTCTGATCTCCGTAGACTTTGGTTTTGCTCAGTACATGTCACCGTGGGACGAGCAGAGGGTACTGAGAGGTTCTCCTCTCTACATGGCCCCTGAGATGGTGTGCCAACGTCAGTACGACTCCAGAGTGGACCTGTGGTCAGTTGGAGTTATTCTCTTTGGTGAGTTTGATACATATAACATGCCTTATATTAATGCTTGTCAGAATTCTGTTCCTATGGCACAATTAAAAATTGAAATTAATTCAAGTCGTTCTACTCCATGTTTAATGTTTACACAGAGACGCTGTTTGGGAGACCACCGTTTGCATCTAAGTCTTATGGCGAATTGGAGGAAAAGATCCGAAGTAACCAACCTGTAGAGGTGAGATTTAAATGTTATTTGCGTTTTTCTGCAGAGAAATTGCTCAGCATTCAGTTTGCACAGAAAATATGATCTAATAACAAAAAGGACTTACATTTGTTATAATGTGTAAAGCTGTTGAAAATTACAATGATTAATACTGTAAAATAATTTAATAATTCACAAGCTGTCCATCAAAATAAACATTTTCTGGTTTGAGCTTCAGTTTGTAACCACTAGATGTCGTGCTTTGACACTAATTTATGGCTCAGTAACTGGAGCCCCTGACAGTGGAGGCTGAAATATTAATTAATAAGATTTATAGACGTAGTTCTCAGAGACATAATTATAACTTGGTAAAAGAGTTTTATTTTCTGTAAAATGAATTTAACCTTCAATTAAGAATTTTAAACTTCTTGGATTTAGATGCTAAAGCAAAAAAAAAAATAAAAATGCTGTGACAGAAAAAGGGCAAGACAGTAAAAAAAATCGAGGCCTTGTAAACACGTAAATGTCTGTGTCCAGCTAAAGGCTTGAACTTTGGATTACATTAACACACGGTCCATTAGCTGAGGATCCACAAAGAGGGTTTTAAGGTCATCTTTTGACAAGGGCTAGTGGTGTGACAAGAGAGGGTCTTCAATAAGAAAGAAATGTGGCCGTCCCTTTCCTTTGGAATGTCCTTTGGATCGAGTTCAACTTAATAAAGTTGTGTTTCGTTCTTGAGCTCCCTCCTGGGGCCAGGGTTTCCAAGGACTGCAGGGACCTTCTGCTGCGGCTGCTGGAGAGAAATCCAGATGTTCGGATCACCTTTAAGGAATTCTTTGCTCACCCTTTTGTGGATTTGGAGCACATGCCCAGTGCAGAAAGCCTTGGGAAAGCGGTGAGAGAATAAGAATGGAAGAAAGTACTAAATGATAACTGTTTGATAAGCACATCACAGCCCCATGTGTTATTGTGTGGATGCAAATGCATACACAAGCAGTCTGTAATACCAGCTCCAATGTTCCCTTTCAGAAAGAGTTGGTTCTTCAGGCCGTTCAGAAAGATCAGGAAGGAGAGCGGTCGGCTGCTCTCTCACTGTACTGCGCTGCCGTAGAGCACTTTGTCCCAGCGATTCACTGTAAGAACAACAACAACCTTTTTTTCGTACTGTTTGTAGCTCAGACACACAGTAATGCACTGCACCAAAATCACGTAACAAATCAGGCTCACCAAGTTTTTTTTCTTCTTTACCTTCTTGCAGATGAGGTAGATCGACAACGTAAAGAAACGCTGAGGCAGAAGGTAATTCTGAAAACACGTCACACAGGGATTACTATTTTCAACAGGGTCTGTTTTGAACATTACCGTAGCTTTCACTAGGAATTAGCCTTCTCTATGAACACCATACGGTGTGGCTGGAGAGCACGTGGTGTGGTTGAGGTGATTGAGTCGACGTCTTTTCCCAGGTCAGCCAGTATGTGTCCAGAGCTGAGGAGCTGAAGGCCCTGGTGGCCTCAGAAAACAGGCAGAGTTTTGAGGAGGCTCGGACCGCCAGGGATGTTCTGCGAGGTAACACACACACACATACACACACACACAGACAATGAACAGTGGTACCCAAACTGGGGCGCAGGTCCAATGAACAGTGGTACCCAAACTGGGGAGCAGGTCACACAGCAAGTTAAACGACTTTTAATATGTTTTTTTTTTTTTGCACAGTGGGAGTTCCGTGGATTTGTTATTTGATTGAATCTGTTTGTAAGAAGAGAAGTTTTGTAGGAATGACCGTGTTTTAAATAAAGTATATATAGAAACTAATGCTTCAAATTTCTATCATCTAATTTTTCCAGAAATGTCTCGAGACCAACCACGACTGATGGCTGCTCTGGAGATGGCCAATACTGCCGTCGCTAAGGTTAGCATGACTCCGTGTGCTGTGATATTTCTGATTCAGGTCCTGGTTCCTAATGTGATTTCACCACTAGAAACAGATGACACTACTCGCTGAGTGGGATCTTACACTGAGCAAAAATAATGTAAAAAAAAATTATTAACTGATGGTTTTAGCCAAAAAGAAACCACTGCCACTCCCACATCTTTTAAAATAAGCGGTGAACCACAAGCATCTCATGGCTGAACTGATGCTGTGTCACTGCTCTATCTCTCTGGCCTGATTTACAACATTGTGTCGCCCATTTTTTATGTCCCGATAGGAACAGGGTGGAGTGGATGATCACGACGTCCTGGACATGTACCAGCAGTGTTTGGGGGAGCTGCTGTTGGTCCTGGCAGGTAGATAATGTGTTTTTTGGCTTCATGCAAACTAGCTTTAAATTGTCATTTGTACTTTGGCGTTTTTATTCATAAAATTTGGAGATAGAGAACTCCAAACACACTGGGGTCCTATCATACACCTGCGTACATGCTGTTATTTAAAAAGCTTGACAGTATGTTAAGTGATTGAGAGTAAAGATTGAAGAAGCAGTATGTTAAGTGATTGAGAGTAAAGACTGAAGAAGGAAAAAAAAATTATGACATATATATGACGTACAGATGATTCCTTGGATAGAGAGCAAAGATGTGAAGATGCATTAAGAGGTCTTTAAGTGAAAACAGATAGAAGTAAACCGAGAAAGACTTCAAACCAGACTGAGGCTCTTTGCCAGAGATGCATATGAAAAGATTCTGAGTAAATAACCCAGGGGAAGTCATCTGACGTTGGTGAGAGCTAAACTGACAGAGAAAGGAAGACGTGGACTTAATAAAGGCAGGGCAAACAGACAGAGGAACTACAGAAGAGACTCCAGTGACTCCCTCTGTGGCCTGGCCTTCATTAGCCTCTACTCATGATCTCATCTGGAAGATCAGCCTAATGGAAGAGGTGGGCTAGAGTGATCCACATGTGGCTCTGAGCCGGAGTCAGACCTGGTGCCAGCTCCCTGTGTGTGGTATGAGAGTTCTGACATATGCTTCCCATTCAGGCAGCTCGTTTCATTTCTTTGTGTTGTTTCACACTGGAAACAAATGAAACTATTATCTCACTAATGGACAGAAGTTTGGATTGTTTCATCCTGGTCGTTGTTGTATTCAGTGTAGGTTCAGTCTCCCTAAAAAAGGCTGAAAATGTGTATTTAAAAGTCAGATCTGGACTGCAGGCAGGTCAGGTAAGCACACGTGTTAGTCTACTAGTCTAATAATAAACCTTTAATATGTCTTCATATAAAGGCCTATTTTTTGTGTATATTTAGGTCTACAGTACCCTGCAGGCCTTGTTTTTTTTTTATCTTTGGCATTGAGAAAGTATTCATTGTTTTATCTGTTTATTGCTTTTTTTGTTTTTTTTTAGCCTAAACGTGAACATCTGTCTCTGTTGTCTTTTAGTTCGTCTCACATCACTTTTGCCCTAACAACTTGGAGGCATTCTTTAAATTGCTGCTTTGTCCTATTAACGTGATCTCTTGAAGTGCGTTAGAGAATCACCAGGGGGATTGTGGGAGGATATCATTAGAACCTTTTTTTCCTTGAGGTCTTAGGTAGTTTTGATGATCAGCCTGCAATCATTTCTGCCCTTCAGCTCCCACTCCCACGCTTGGAAAAAAATCCAATCTGGTTCTGACCTCACGCTGAACAAACGCAGTGATTGGGTAGTGACGTTTCCTCTCTTCCTGTCATTAACAACACACCTTGTTTTTCCCTCTCGTTGATCCAGCTGAGCCGCAGGGTCGCAGGAGAGAGCTGCTCCACGGCGAGGTGAGTGGGCGAAGGCGGCGACCCTTATGTTGACTGCCTGTAATGGTACAGAAAACGATGCATCAGTTCCAACGTGCCTTCAGCTCATTACTGTACACTGGTCACTTCATCACATGACCTCTGTGCTAACAGTCTAATAACACAATCTGTCACATTTTTGTCTTATACATCCATCATTGTCTGCCTTGTAATTGGACAGTTAGAGGGTCGAGAAGGAAATAGGTCACATGGCAACTATGTGGAAAAAAAGGTCACACGAAGTACTGCAGAATACTGTTATATAGAGAACTGTTTTTATCAGAAATTATTTTAACTAATATAATTCATTTATATATTTTATTCATTCTAATTAGCATTGTATTAACAGTATATTATCTAACAACAAATTATACAGTTTTATATTATAGTATTCCTACAGTAGTATTAAACTGTTGGCAACAAATTGTATTTCAAACATAGCTCTGATTGGCTCTCAGCCTCAATGATTGGATCTGATTGGACTTCATCAGATTTTTTCATCATGTTGTTACTGGTTAACTAACATCATTATTTAGGCCTACACAATTTCCTTTGATGAAAATTACAACAAAAATAACACTGGTCTGGTTTGGTAATTAAGGCACAAAAAAAAAAGTAGAATAGATGTTATTAAATGAATACCTGCAATGTACCTTGAAAATGTTGAAAACAACATGATTTTTCTCCCACAAACCCCTCAGGAGTAGAGGGGGACGGAGTGGGCCCCACAGACCTCCGCATTTGAAGTTTTATGGGCGTTCGTCTTAAGTAAATTCAGATGCCGCTGTGATAATCTCACACAACATCAGGGAGACGGGGCGGTGGGTTGGATTGGAAGCATGTGTGTATGTGAGAAAAGAGCCGACACATGCTGCCGGGCCTGGAGTCCATGTGCGTTCACATCTACAGCAGAGCCTCCCTCGGCCTTCTCTAAGTTGTAATTCAGTTTCCTGACCTCTAATGTGGGAGTCGCAGCTTTGATGTAACCAGTGTGTGTAAATGTTGTGCCTGTATGGCTGACACACACATACACGATTTCCCCAGGTCCTACATTAGCAGTAGCTGTTCGGTGGTGGCTGAGATCACTAACAAAGGTCACATTTGTGTCTGGACTTTTTTTTTTTTTTAACCACAATGCACAGCGGTGCTTGGTAACTTATTTGGTTTTGTTTTTTTTCGTTTGCCTGGTCTCGTTGATTTGTTTCACATCCATTGTAGTTTGTGATTAAAGCAGTTGCGGCTGAGTACTGTAGTACTGTAGATTTTGGGGTCAGCTCTTTACGGAGGCCCTGTGGTCACACTGATTATTTCCCACAACAGATGTTTTTAAGGGACATTAAGGGAAGCCATCAGTTTAGGTTTGAAGTCTCTACAACCTCAGATGTAGCTGCAGTTATTCAAACAGGTTGTACAAACAGGTAAGAGTCAGAGTGATGAATAAAGGAGAAAACAGCAGATGATGACAACAGTTACTACTTACATATGTACAATATGCATTAGTTTGAAAGGAAAGTAAAAAAAGAGTAAACTTACATTTACAGATCCTGATTTGGACAGAGGGTTTTCATCTGTGATCATCTTCGTCGTGTTCTCTTTCCTGCTCCTCCATAATGAAGCTGTTGACATTGAACAGGAGAAAGAAAATGTCTTTTAAAAAAAAAAAAATTTAGAGTGAGATCTCTTCTAACCAAAAGTAAAAAGTACAATAATCTGACAAAGTAAAATACATTTACATGTATGAGTTTAAGATGATAAAGCTACAGGATTATTTCCCCTTTTTTTCTTTATTCCGAATATTAAGTCTCACTGTGTCAGTGTCACATAATTGCATGGATATAACTCTTCCTGGGGATGTTGTATTATAACCAAAAAATAACGACCACAAACACAAGAAAGAAAATCATTCCACAGTAAACATGTGTTATTTGGAACTTAATGTGTAACTTTTTCTGTCTCACAGATCAAAAGTCTCATGACCAGAGCTGAGTATTTAAAAAAACACATCAAGGTAAGGACAAAATTCCACCCACGGTTTTTTATTTTTTAAATTTTTATGATTTATTTTGGGTGTATTTACCAGATATAAAAAAAGGAAAAAACCCTTATTGTTTATTTCTGAATTTGTCTGAGCAGAGCAGCTGTTTATTTGCTACAGTCGAGTGATGACTTGCATATGTTTCTCTGTCAGATGCAGGAAACTCAGCGAGACGTGTCTCTGGATCGAGAGCCCCTCGCCGACTCTGTCAGAAGCTGTAAGTGTCCCCGCTGTGTTGTTCTAGCATTTTCCTTGTGTGTTTTTACAGTGGCCTGGAGACAAACTGTGACTCGACCGAGGGTCTGGTACGGTGGGTTACCTGAGGTTAAGTGAAGGCCTAGATTTGTGAAGTTCTAATGAGATGTCACTCGGGCAGATGTTTTCCACTAATAAAACATGAGCCGTTCTCTTTCTGTGCCTGCCCCCCCTCGTCCCCCCTCCGCTGCACCACTGTCTGGCTCTTTGATTTCCTTTTAGAACAGCTGGTGTTAAAACCATAGTAATCATAAGACCTGTTGTTAACAGAGACGAACATCCTTCCCCGTCCTTGTTAAAGGACATTTTATTACAGTATGAGTTTGTAATCCACTCGTCCACAGATGACACTTCAATCACATCAATATTTAATTACAGCTCACCATTGTTGTTGATCCATCGCCTCCATTATTATAGCAAACATTTTCTGTCGGTAGTTTTTTCTTAATAAAAACATCTTAATTATGGCTAATCACATGGTTACTGAATATGAAAAAACAAAAACATTTTGTGTAAATTACTGGAACAGAAAGACATGATAATAGCAGACAGATGTCTGTGTTTTACACCTGTTTCTATTTGTGACTAATCCAAATGATGGGTTTATGTTATGATGGAAAATTACCACGAAAAATATGCAAAACTATAACTGCAAATTTTGCACAGAGTTGGTGGATTTTACCCAGTACTGTCGTGACAGTGGGTTGTAGAATGTGTTACTAGCTGAACCGGTGACCTAACATTACTTTTAAATACCACTAACATTTACTTCAGATACTTCATGTATCCCAGTTCTTCATCTTTTTACTTCTACCTACTTCCAAGTACTTTCAGGGCCCGGCCTCCAGATATTTGGATGTGACCTAAAGCTGAGACAGTATCCTGTTCTCCGAAAGAAAAATTCCAGGGGAAATGAGAATTTAAAAAAAAAAAAAAAAAAAAAAAGTGGTGCTGGGGGAAGGGCAGCAGTGAGTCCAGAGGCTGCTCAGGTTTCACGGAGAAAGCAGGTTCTTACTCTGCTGCTGTTATTTTAATAAAACCGCGGCAGAGTCAGCAATGTGAGCTGGATCTGATCCAGACTGGAGAGGGTCACAGCGACGGCAGACTCTGTCTGTTGACCTGAGACTACAGACCGTAGCAGGTACTGCTGTTTTACTGAAGCCATGACAGATTCATTCTCTCTTTTCCTCTGTTCAAAACTACAGGGTTAGTTGATGCTCGTAGATTGAGCAGTTTTCTTCAATGATTTTATAATGAATCACGATTTGGTTCAAGGTTTTTCAGCTGCAAACAAAAGACCTTCATTACTGTTGATAAAGAAGCAGATGATTTAATGAAAAGAAGAATCACTGCTTCATTCAGTTCAGGGACTTTTTTTATCCTCCTGTTTTAGTCTTTAGGGTCAGTGCAGCTCACAGGAAACGGGTCAAACTTTAATGTTTACTTGATATAAATTCTCTTAAAGTTTAACCACACCCCCCCTTCTGTGCCCCCCCCCAGCCTGCTGTCTGCAGTGAACATGGCATTGAGCGTGTGAACAAGACGAGACGCCTCCCTGACCATCAGACGGCCAGTCACAGGAGGAGCCCTGGACACAGGGCTGTGGCAGAACCGAGGTTCTGTTCAGACCAGGTCAAACCCGGGTTTTAAAACTCCTCTGTTCATCTGGGTGGGACGATGCTGCTGATTCTTAATCCTTATTTAACTTTAACTACACCAGAGTCTGCCAGCTACACTTACTGTGGTTATTTATTAACTTAACCTAGTTAAAGTATAAACTAATGCTGTGTGTGTGTGTGTGTGTCGGTTCCTCTCTGGGTTTTTCTTGAACAATCATGTCAAAGGACTGAAATGTTTAATCTGGTTAAACACAGGGTAGCTGTGGATTCATCACGATTAATCGAGATAAATCATCAGTCGTAAATAAAACAAATATTGGTGTCACTGTCACCTTATTGGCCGTAAATCATCAGTCGTAAATAAAACAAATATCAGCGTCACTGTCACTTTATTGGACTTACTTCCTGCTCTGCGTTGGTCAGGCTGGTCCGACGTACGCTGGGCGTCTTGACCTGAAACTGGAACCTCCACTGACACCTGCAGTGGTGGAGATGGAGTTTTAGGCTTCATGGAAACAAAAACGCTTTCTGGCAGTGTGTGTAAATGACAAGATGTTTATCATCTGTCTTGGACTGGATGGATTTATTAGATTAATTAATCATCGTGGTTAATCTGTTTCTAATGACGACCCCTTTAGAAAACAGATGAATAAGAAGATACATGAAAACTTCAGAATTAGTCGAGAAACACGAGGAGTTGTTAAAACCTAGAGGTGACTGTTGATTCATCAGTTCTGGCTACGACGTGTCGCCCACAGTTCTTTATGAAATGTTTCAGTATAATAGATTTAAATTTGCTAAAACAGCTCTGTGATTCGACCCTTGAACAATCAGGAAGAGCTGCTTGTAGTCTGAAGAGTCTAGATTTACACTTGAACGTGCAGCAGAAGACGGAAGAGATTATTTACCCAACAAATCTACTTTGTTTTGACATTGTACAAACATTGTCCCAGCCGTGCCGTCTACGTGGGCTCTGCATCGATCTGGACGAGTACAACGTGGACGATTAGTCTCTTACAGTGACCAGTAGCCTTTTAGCCACAGTTTACACTGCTTTCACAAAGTTACCACAGTCAAATGATGGCTGAAAAAAAAACATGCCTGTTGCCAAAGCAAATATATATGTGCTTTAATCAAAGCTGCTTTAATTGTCAAACTGAATGGTAGCAGCTGTGATTTACTGTCTAGATCATTATATTAAACTGGTTTCTAAAAGTGGAAAAACATAGGTTTAGTTTATGGTTAGAAACGGTAAAACCTTCGATTCCAAGTCTATTGATTTTTGTTGTACAAATTTGCACACTGATGAATGTGAAGGTCCATGCTCTCTCTACACTGGGTTTGTGCCATGTGTCGCCTCACGTCCCTCCTCCTGTCAGACCATTGACATGTAAATGCTGCTCAGCTCGTATGACAGAAGCACATTATCATGGAAAACAAGTTGAAGCGAGAGAGTGTTTGTGTTTTACTCCGCAGCAGCGCGGGCATTAACGTGAACGAAACTGTAAAACTCTGACTCTGTCATGGCAGTTTTGAGAGGAAGTATTAAGTACACTATACTCAGGCCTCAGCAAACATGCACACACTCACCCCCTCACCCTCTCCTCCCCACTGACTTTACTGCGGCTCGACCACAGGCTCACCACGCGCTGTCCACTGATGGAGCCCTCTCCACCACGATGAGGGGAAAACTGGAAGAGGTGCCGCCTCGGCCTTATTTATATGAGTCAACTAGAATTTTCTCAGATTGGGTAATGGACGAGGGTTTTTGAAGGCTACACTGAGCCGCGGGGCTCAGGGAAACCTGACAAACTACGGCTTCTGCCGCACAGTCGCAGCGGAATACTAATCCACATGACCGTTGTGTGTCTTCCAGGGACCATTGTGGTCTCAGGCAGTGCAAAACATTGCAAAAAAAAGGGAGCTTAACTCTGTGAGTAGTGTTATATAACTGCAGTAGTCGGCAAATGGGAAAATATACTGTATGACTTGATTGTATACTGTAAATCACTGGGCGAGAGATCCACACTGAGATTTGGTTTTTTTTTGTTTGATTTAACGGTTTCTACAGCTGTGATTTTTACAATGTATTTATTGAAGATGAAGAAGAAAAATAAAAAGGACTGGGTCGGAACATTTCTTGTAGCCTGAATCTTTTTTTTTTGAATCTCTGATTTTCATTAAGATAAGAAAATGGAAGAATTGTCCTGAAATGTTCTGATTAATTTCAGTTGGATAAAGATGAGGACTGGACTCCTGGGCAATGAAAAAAAAAATCATCCTCTAGTCTGAGTCTAGATCCTCGTCTGTTTAAAAGTTCTAGAAACTTCCTTTAGAGAAATGCATCACCAGCAGAGGGCAAATGTTCCTCTCTATGGAAACCTATGGAAAGATGAATATACCGTTTTGTGGGGGCGGCGCTGCTGTTCCCTCGCCGTCATCATCTGGAAGCTGCTCTGCAGAAACAGCTGGCTTCAGTCCACGAGGGGGAGGAGAGAGAGAGAGGGGAGAGCAGCCTGGGGAATGTAAGGACATTTTATAATTATATGACTTGTGTTGGACGTCTGGAAAACTTTGAACCTGATCTGGACAAAGTCCAGCAAAACGTAAAAGCAACGTACAGAGAATTGACTCTAGAGATGATATTGTTTTTCTCTAAAGTACATCCAGCTGTTGTAATACAGCATGTTGCATTTCTTGGCTGCAGTACAACCACAGTACTACTCAGTACTCACAAAGTAGTAGTGAAGCTTTTAAAGACTGGGAAATGACTAAGTTTAAGCACTAATTAGCTCCACCCAGAGTCTTTCTCAGGCTCCACCCTTCAATCCTTAAGCCCTGCCCTACTGCTAATGGAAATAAATCCTACAAATCTGCTTCTCTCTCATGAAACTCTCATGAGTTAAAATTACAAACAGTTACATTTCTCCACTGTGGCACAAAAAAAGATGAGATTAAAAGCAAAATGTATTTGCTGAGAACAAATTTCACTCTTCTGCAGTAGTTCTGCAACCTCTACAGGACCCGCCCCCCACTTTGGGAACCAATGTTGCAGGCGAGAATATACAGGTAGTTTTTGGAGGAACAAAAAAAGGGATGATGTTAGCATCGTGTCAGCTACCCCGTAAGACTTTGTCAAAAAGTTCTAGAACATCTTAAAACCAAGTTGTTTTCTCAAGTTCTTTCAAGGAAATAAATAAAACATAACGTAACAAAGTTTAACGAACCAAGTTGTTTTCTCAAAAGTTCTTTCAAGGAAATAAATAAAACGTAACAAAGTTTAACGGAAATAAGATAAAGTCGTCATGGCCGTTGGATCTATATCAAAACTTTTGATTAAGTTTCATTAAATGAATGATTTAAGAACTTTTATTTTGACCAAATGCAGTGACGTCTCTGCTTCTCCCATTTATCGTCCGTTTCCTTTCAACTCCACTGATGCCTCTCTCACAGGGCGATTTTAAAAGGTTACAAGTTTCTCGTAAAAGTCGAGGTTTTAAACTGTACGTTTCATGTCACCAGGACGCCGTGTGATGTTTGTTTTCCATCTTAGCATCTCGCCTTTTACAGTCACCTGGGTCTAAATCACTCCCAGACTGGAGAGACCAACACGCCCCCTGGAACCACAGGATGAATGAGCAGTGGCTGCTTTGTTTGTGGCCGTGCTGTGTATCGGCCTCTAATTGGTTAATGTGCTCACGGTGTTGGCATCTCACTGCCAGGAAAACTTTGCGATGCAATTCTGACCCCTGAGCTTTCTTTGTTGCTCCACTCTGGGATCCCTGCCAGTTCAATATTGCCCCCCCCGACCCCCCGAAATGAGCACAGAATACCATTACAGTAATACTGCACAGACATGGAGATGCTCAAATGGAAAATGTACCCTCTTTTGCCTCCTCCTCCTCTAAAATACCCCCCCACCCTACTGGACCCACAACTAAGAACATTGTGGCTTTTGATCAGCCTCCATTTTGCTGCGTATTTACCCCCCCCGCCCCAGCCTCTCTGCTGATGCAGCAGGTCCAGTCACATTGGCATGAGCGCCACCTATGAAGGGGGTCTCTGTGCTCCAGACCTGGAGGGAACGCGGTGCCCTCGACTCCGGCAATCGCTGCCCTGAAAACACAGAGCAGGTCAGCCATTCACTGTGGCCCGACGGCTGCGTTCAATGGAACATTGTAGAAGCCTGACCTTTGCAGATAATCAACCCACGTGCTCTAAGGCGAAGCCAAAAGTGTTTACGCATTAAGAAAATTCTTATGATATTAAAACACCATCCATCTTCTGACGCTGATCCTGTTAACGGTCGCTGAGGAAACGCTGGAGCCAATTTCACTGCTGTGGTCAATGCAGAGCCTCCAATTAACATAATCCTCAATCTGCAGTAAAACTAATCAAAGCAGCTTCGAGTGCAGAAGAAAAAAAAAACATATTTTCAATGTTAAGAGTTAAAAGTTATAATCCCTAGACTTTTAATCTTCATCCTTAACCTTTCACTTTCTGCCCCCTAAAGGTGAGGCTGCTATTTTCAGGGTGAAGGCCAGGGGCTAATAATAAAAAAATAATAAAGTTTATGGTTTTGCAGCAAGTTCCTAATAAATCAGCTGACGTTAGTTTGTCGTTAAAGACTAACTTAACTAGAACTGACAAGAAAATAGTATTTGAAGGAGAGAAAGTCCAACACATTGAACTTTACCCCAAAGACAACGTGCCTTTGAAATAAAAAATTGAAAAAGTCGTCGGTCAGACCTTAAAGTTATGTAACTTTTCCTTCAATTTCAAAACTTGTTAAATGCTTTAAAAGGTTAATATTTAACACTTTAGCATTAAAAATAGAATAGAGTATGAATAAGTCAAAGTTTACTTCACAAGTTCAAAGATTTTCAGGGATTTTTTTTTTGGGAAAAAGTTCACTCTTAAATCACCCTATAGGTGTGAATATTAGTGTGAATTGTTTGTATTTTGTTCATATATATACATACATACATATGTATGTGTATATATATATATAAAAACTCCCAGTAAATTAGTACCATATTCCAAAGTTCACACGTTGTTGTTCACCAAACATGTACAGTCAACCAGAACCGACACTTAATCCATATTAAAACTCCTGTCAGAGTCACATCAATCAGATGTCATGACATCTCTGTGCTCCAGTCACAACATTACGCAATTTCAGCTCATAAACATTTTATTAAAAACTCACCAGTTCTCCCCCCCCCCTCACACACACACACATACACACACACGCAAGAAAGACACTGCTGTGGAACGTTGCTGCTAAGAGCAGCTGAAAAAGAAGAAGTGGAAATTAAAATCACGTGTATGGACTCGGAGCTACGTCACATCTGTGTGTTCGCTGAGGATTACACACATTTGCTGACACACATAAGGACCACACACACACACTCACACACACATCGACTTGTTTCACTGTACAAAACCCATTCCTCATCATCATAACGTCATCATTTATCACCAGAAATCCCTGTTCAAAACTCGACACCAAACATCGTATTCCACCAACTGCATCTACAGTTGAACAGTTCACATAAAGAGCTCAGAGTGACCCTCACGTCAGACCTGGTCGTAGTGAGAGCCAACGTCAGCTGTGATTGGTCGGTCCGTTCACGGCAGCGACGCAACAACAGGTTCTGGTTTGTTGTTGTACCGGTGAGAAAGGAGCAAAAACAACAGGAGTTTTTTTTTGTTGTTTTTTTTAAAGGCGTGAAAGTGAGCAGACAGGAAAGGAGGTGTGTGTGTGTGTGTTTGTGTGTGTGTGTGTGTGTGTGTGTGTGTGTGAGAGAGAGAGAGACAGGAAAAGTCCAATGAAACAGTCAGCGCAGACACCGGCCCTTCTGTTCGGCTCATTTTTGAACCTGATTCTTCACCCCTGGTCTGTTTATTGACTCTGAGCACAAATGTTTGCTTCGCTGCGACAATGAAGTGGCCCCTGAAATGGAGAGCACAGCAAACAGACTGTAAGGGTCCAGTGTTTGTCCAGGGTCTTAAAAAGGCCACACTTCAAGAGGCACTGATGCCAAACCAAACAGAGCAGAGCTGTTAGAAGATGCAACATGAAGGCCAACGTCAAGTAAAAAAACAAACAAACAAAAACAACAAAACTTCACACCAGAACCTGTTCCTCCAACAGTTACTTGAAAAGAACGGGTTCATATGACGTGACTGAGGGGTTCAGAGGTCAAGTTGTTGCGTCAATTTCCACGCCGTCATTAATCCTCATGACATCCAACAAGTGTTTGAAGCAGCCTTCACCAGTGAATAATCCTCAGTAGAGGAGGAATCAGGAGAGCCACGCAGCTGGAAGTCCTCTGGGCAGAGGAGTAGTCCGCCCGCACCTCCTCCCTGTCACCTCTAGGGTCGTAGTCCTCGTCCTCATACATGTCCTCCGCGTCGGGCTGGTCCGCTATGACACTGTGGTCCCCGATGTTGCACAGTTTCCTCATGTTCTCCTTGACCACTTCACAGAACGGCCGCTCCACGCCGTCACACACGCAGCGGTTGAGCAACATGCCGTTCGGGATGAAGAGCATCTGCTGAATGGTGGCTTTACACTTGGGGGAGCACTTCCGGCCGTTGAACAGCTGCCCACAGTATGACAAGTAGGCCGTGAGGGAGGTGTGGCAGTCGCTGTCCTCCTCGCACCGCTGCCGGGCCTCCATGCAGCCGATGCCGCCGCCGTCGCTCGGGTATCTCCGTGGGAGACAGGGCTCTATGGCCCGCTTGGCGCCGTCGCACTCCCGGTCTTTGGCGCAGTCGCAGGTCTCCAGGTCTGGCCCGTTGCGGGTGTGGTTGAGCCTGATGAGAGCGTTGATGCAGTGGCTCGGACACTGCCTCCGGGTCCCCCGCAGGTTCCCCTCACAGGCCGCCAAGTACTGGCCGTAGGCGAGGTCACACGCGGGCTCGTCGTGGCACCGGAGGAGCGCCTGCCAGCAGATGAGCTGGCCGTCTATGGCCACCAGCACCCAGGGGAGAAGCGCCAGGGCGCCGCACCAGCATTTCATGCTTGGATGGAGTTGTAGTTCGGCGAAGAAGACTCCCTCCTCCACCAGCAGCACATTTGGAGTGATGAGAACTCACACAGTCAGTCGGACCTTCCTCCACACTGCAGCCCGCTGCCCGTGCTCCATGTCACCGGTCGACGTGCCCACGCTGACCCGTGCTCCATGTCACCGGTCGACGTGACGCGCGCGGCGTAGCGCTACCCACGCTGGGCGCAGACTCGAACCCACTCTTCTGTTGTTGTTGTTGTTTTAGTCCACAACACCTTAAGTCCACTTCAACTCCTCTTTCTAGGCTCCGCTCCTCTGCTCCAACATCTAACCGCTCGTTCCGACGTGTTTTTTTTTTCTTAATTCCAAGTTGGCAGAAGTTTCTCCCCGTGTTCGGTCTGTCCCGCTCCGTGCGCCTTTGTCCTCTCTTCTCGCTGTTATACGTTTCACGCTTCGCTGAGCATTTCCCCACAACACCCCTCCTCTTGTTGAAAAAAAAAAGTTTTTCCTCCCCCTCTTCCCCTCTCCTCTCATTTACAACCCTGTCCACCGATTGGTCATCGTGGAGTCAGCCGTGGGACCCGGCGGCGGCGGCGGCTCTGCGCGCAAA